CTTGACATGCCCACACACCTCTGAGAAAAATGGGGTCGTTAAATGGAAGCACTGACATGTCATTGAATTAGAACTTGTTCTGTTAGCTCAGGCATCATTTCCAGTCAAATATTGGTCCTATGCTATTGTTTTAACACTATACTTAATCAACAAACTTCCTACTAAAATTCTACAAGGGTTATCTCCTTTTGAGAAGTTGTTTAAAAAGAAACCAGACTACTCCATGATAAGGGTCTTTGGTTGTCAATGCTTCCCTCATCTCCGATTATTTCAAAAGCACAAACTTTCATTTTAGATCTCAAGCATGAACTTACCTAGGCATCAGTCCTCGACACAAAGAATTCCAATGTTTGGCTTCTGATGGAAGAGTTTACGTCTCCAGACATGTTTTTTTTAATTGAATCTATATTTCCTTTTGTAGACCAAGGAACTTGTAACTCCTGTGCACTTGTAAGCTCAGACACTCGTTCATCCCAGCCACTTCAAATTATTTTAGATTTAAGGAGTACAAGTCTTCAACACACACGTGATAGTCCAGACAATATAATATAAACTACTATAAACAGGGGGTCTGTAGGTTATTCGAACAATATTGCATCAGCAAGTGTTAAATCCACTGAGTCCAATGATAAAAATGTTACAACTGGTCATGATCAAATTAATAGTGCTCATAAACACACAGATATTGCTACTGAATCTGGAAGTGCTTGAGTCTACAATGAATCCTGGTAGCAGTACTGGTGAGCCTGCTGCTATTGATACCAACCCTACTGTTACTACAGAATCCAATATGGATGGATCGTCATCTTGTGTTCATCCCATGATGACATGTAGTAGGTGTGCCATTTTTAAGCCTAAAGTCTTCTTAGCTGCTGAGAATGATGATGTTCCTACTACAATAACTACAACGTTTCAATCTCCTCATTGGACTGCTATAGTGCATGAAGAACATAATGTGTTGTAAAAGAATGGTACCTGGTCACTAGTAAAACTACCAGAAGAAATAACTGTAGTCGGATGCAAATGGATTTTTCGTATTAAATGGAATCCAGATGGGACTGTTCTTCGATACAAGGCTCGGCTAGTTGCTAAAGAGTTCTCTCAGACCCCTGGGTATGATTTTGGAGACACATTCAGCCCGGTGGTTCGATTCTCAACGTTCAACACGGTCCTAGCAATTGTTGTTTCCAAATGATGGGAGCTTCGACATATAGATGTAAACAACGCGTTCCTGAATGGAGATCTAAGTGAGGATGTTTATATGCACCAACCCCTTGGTTTTGAACAAGTTGATGAGAATGGTAAACCTCTTTTCTGTAAGCTTCAAAAGGATTTATATGGTATTCGACAAGCTCCTCACAATTGGCATGTGAAACTTAAAGATAACCTACTACATATGGGATTCACAGTTTCTCGAGCTAACCCACTGTTGTTTGTCAATAACTCTCAAAGAGGATACGTTTATAGATTGGTATATGTGGATGACATATTTGTCAGAGGACAGTCATCTAACTTAGTTCAAGAAGCGATATTCATGCTGTAAGAACGTTTTTCGCTCAAGGACCTTGGTGTGTTAAGCTTCTTCCTCGGTATTGAAGTCAAACGTGTTAATGTTTACTTTTCTTGAGCCAGAAGAAGTATGTGCTTGAACTACTGGAGAAGACAGTGATGTTGACAGCTATTGGATGTGCCACACCTATGGTGGTGTCACCTAAAGTATCTCATGAAGCAGATGACCTCTTAAGCAATGCTAATGAATATAGAAGTATTATGGGGTCGCTATTATATTTTTGTCATACAAGACCAAACATACCGTTTAGTGTGGCTCAAGTTACCCAATTTATGCATGCTCTACGAGAAGCTCATTATGTTGCTGTAAAGAGAATACTTCGCTACTTATGTGCAACGCTTAACTTTGGCCTGTTGTTTTCACCTATTTGATAGTGGATTGAATGTTGTTGCCTTTGCCGATGCGGATTAGGGAGCCAACATTGATGATCGAATGTCTATAACTGGGTATGGAGTTTTCCTAGGTAAATGTCTGGTTACATGGTGCTCAAAGAAACAAATGACAGTCTCTCGATCCATAATGGAAGCTGAATATAAAAGTGTGGCGGATGCAGCTGCTGATATAGCATGGATAAATGCACTCCTAGCTGATCTCGGCATCTAACAGGGTCGTGAACCGGTCGTATAGTGTGATAACACCAGCGCAGTGGCCATGAGCGCTAATCTCATCTATCATGCACAGTCCAAGCATGTGGACCTTGATGTTCATTTCGTTCGCAATAAAGTAGCAGCTGGCCAGTTACGTGTAAGCTATGTTCCTGCAATGCACCAAACTGCTGATGGATTCACCAAGCCCCTTACTCGAGCTACATTTGAAGAGTTTCGATCCAAAGTGTGTGTTTACTCTCTTAACAAAGAAGACAAGAAGAAGTAGAGAGAATGTTAGCAGTCAGTATAAGCATCGAGTGTAAATGCATAACTGATTGTAACTGTGCCATACACGTGGCCTTAGCTGAATAGATCAGTTGTTAGTTAGTTAACTAGCTGTTAGTGCAGCTGTTAGTAAAATTGTTAGTTAGCTGCACTTACAATGTATATAAGATAGATGTGGTTCAACAAGTTTCCAGAATATTTCTTCTTGATAATTACCATTGCAACAGAGACCACCATAACTTATCAAGATGGTGCTTATTTGTTATCATGTTGATCTTCCTTGCTTTGAACCCTTGGATTCTATTTGGATATGCGCATTGAATTCGTCGATAGTTTCTCATGTTACTCGACTCTGATTTGTGGTTCGTCGATGATCTTTCAGTAGCTTGATCATCTTTTTTGATTTGTTTATCAATGCGATCATATCTATTCGTATCTATCTTTTGTTCGAGTTTTTTTGATTAGGTTTTTTAACATTTTCCTTGCATGATGTGATCTTATGTAACTAGTTGTGTCAATGATTATAGAAAAATATCATGATTATATATTTAGTTTACACTCATTATTGTAAACTTTCATTGTAATTCTAAATATTTTCTTTTTTTTAATAAAACTAATGGCTTCTATAGAAAAATGAAGAGAAAAAATATAATTACATTTAATTGAAAATTGAATAATTGATGAAAATATAGAAATTCGGGTTAAAAAATTAATTTTTTTTATAGAATTCAAAAGAATTAGGTGCCCTCGTTACAAGGTAAAAGGTAGAAGTTTTGAACAATTACTCATGGATACTTCCTCATTATAACCGGGCTGTTCATTAATCAAATTTAAATTCCCATCTTTCACAAGTCTGGTGATCCTTTCTTTGTTAGTATGTCAGTTTAAGATGCCAAATATATGTTTCAATAGAGTGAGAAATTTTGGAACTTTTATTCAAGTTAACTAAAAGCAGTGAGAGTATATATTGTATTTTTGGTGATTTTTATATTTGCAGTGAATTATTATTTTTTCATCTGAAAAGATAAAAAAATTGAACTATGTAAAATGTCATCTCTAGTACATATTTTATTTTATATTGATTTTGTTTTAATTATGTTTTCGTTTTTAAATTTCTAACCAGTGATATTAAAATACATATTTGATTTGATAAATTATGTCTCATCTATCTATTACAGATAAACATTTTGTTTTTTTTCGTACCCATATCGTGAACAAAATAATCAATTCTGGAACATTCCTCCCAAGTGCTTCATGATCTATCCCCTTGAGTCACATAAAACACCACCAATCCCAGCCTTATCAATAGCCTCCACTAGAGATGTATCCAGAACTTGACAAAATTCAACGCAAAATTAATGGGGAAAATATATTTAATTTATAAGAAATATAAGTGATGAGAAAAAATATAATAAAATTATCAAATTAATAAAAATTAATGAGATTCAAATTAAAAAGGCGTTACAAAAATTATCATATAAAATTACAAATTCTACACAAAAGAAAGTCAAATTAAATAGCTTTAGAAGGACCAAAAGAAAACAAGTTAAAAACTTTGGGGGGAAAACTATAATTTACCATATTTTTATGTACCTATATTAAGGACTAAAATTAAAGGCTAGTCATTTAAAGGAACTAATTTAAGATTTTGAAAATGGGATTTGCCCTCTCAGCCTCCCTGGATTAGGCCCTGCTATACAATTAATAAAACCTACTGGTTAAATTACCTGCATTTCTGCTCCTAGATACTTTTGGAGGAATTAATATATTTTCCTAAAACAAATTTAGCTTCACCTATATCCAATAATGGAAAACCAAAATATTCAGCTCCAGAAAATCAAAACTGCTATAGAAGCAATCCGCTAGAAACATACGTAAAATTTAGAATATGATGGATAGTGTTATGGGAGAGGTAAGGTTACAGCGGTTATAGGTGTTTTTTTTTTTAAATTTGAGTAAAGAGTTATAATCAATTAACTTATAATGAAATTGATCTTCGACCGATAAATATTAAATAGTATCTTTCGTCTCCAAATGGGGTGAGAAGAAAAAGAAGTAAAATCCTTTCTTAACCTGGGTTGAACGGTTTTATAATGACTCTTAATATGAAATCGGGTTTAGAATTATGATAATTATACCTAGACTAATAAATTAAATAAGTATACTCACTTGATAATAGATTTAGTCCCGACATAAATTATAAAAGTTACTATTAATCGATTAGAGGAAGAATTCTTCCAGATACTTCAATCGATTAAAGAGTTAAATCGAAAATGCAACTCACGAAGAAGTTGCAGAGCAAATATAACATACAGATATATGCGAGGTTAAGCTAACTAACGCTAAAAAATGAAAGGAAAATTCGTGCATGTGTTTGAAAGTTAAATGCTAATATATTTGACAATACTGTATAGTGTGAATGGACAAATTATTCTCCCTAATCACCCACATTTTGTGAGAGTTCCCACTCGCGGGGAAAACTTCAAGAATAAAGATATAGACAATATTATCAGAAGTTTTATCTGATACTGAACGCATATAATAATTTTTCTGACGAATTAATAACAACCAAAGGCATCACAAGCGAGCCATTACAGGAATCAACAAATTCCAAACTCTTATCTCTTATCTAAGCATCTGCATACTGCCCACAGCTTGATGATGAGGATGAGATGGGTGGCAAGGTTTCACCAAAGAAGAGCTGTAGCCCATATTAGCCACTGTTGCACTCGGAATCCAAGCAGCACCCATCGGCTTGTCAACAGAAGCTTGTTCCAAGGACTGCACCTGTCTCTTCAAGAATTTGACGTAATGAATAGCCTCCTCCAACATCGACGCCGTATCCATTTTGGTGCCTCCAGGAACAAGTCTCTGCAGAATCCTTATCCTCTCGCTTATCCGTTCTCTCCTATGCCTGGCCGCCACGCTCTGTGGATCCTTTGAGATCTTAACGTTTCTTCTCTTTGGTGGCTTAATGGATTCCGGGTCTATATGAACAGGCTGCATCGCTGCTATTTGGAATATCATCTCCCTCATTGCTGCCATGGAGTTCTTCTTATCTCCTGAACAAGAAAATGAATTTGCATTGTTCAAAGGAGGTGGAGTCATGAGTTCTTGAACAAGGTTACTGCCATTTTCATTTCCAATGAATGATAAAGAGGAAGGCAGGGTCATCAATGTATTCGGGTTCGGGTAACTTGGTAGGATAGTGGAGCTTGAATTACCATTGGAGAAGTGGAAAGCAGGCTCACTGAAATTGGGAAGCTTTTCTTCCAGTTGCATCATCATTTCCATCATGTCCATGTGATCTTCTGTTAATGGTTTCACCATCTCAGCATCCATTGAATCTAACCCTAAACTGAAAGAGAAAAGAGAGATGGGGAAGTTGGAAATGATAAATCTGAAAGACCGGTTGGCAGAGGGATGGGGGAGGAGCTCCAGATATAAAGAATTAGGGTTTTTAATCAGAGAAATGTGCATTGAGATAAGGAGATAGATTAAAAGTACCCAATAATATCATACAAGGAAGTGGAAAAGCCTTTATATAACAACTTGTCACCATTTTTATTCATTTTAAAATTCATGCAAAGATGATAGGGAAAACCTCAATATTTATGATTGGGTGTGTGATATTGGATAGTGACCGTCCATCATGTGGGACTAACCCTAATCGCTGACCTTATCATCCATCCGATCCAAGCTAAATACAGGTGTAAAGGATCAGATTGGTCATGCGTTTAGGCCCACCAATTAAATGGATTCGATTGAAGGGATAGTTCAAGCAAGATGCATGAACCACTTTATTTTCATGGATTGCACACTTGAGTGCATGAACCACTTTATTTTCATGGATTGCACCCTTGAGTGCTGAAAGAAGGTGCTGGCTTTACCTTCGTTTCTTTTCAACTTTGTCAAAAAGAAACCATGAAACCCCACATTCACATGATATTCTCATAAGAGGAAAACCCTTAACCGGAGTCCGACGTAATAATGATTCCGATCACTTAGGGGTTTCATGCAATCTATTTTAGGGTAAACTACACATTTAGTACTTCAACTATTACTTTTGTTCTGTTTTGGTCACTCGACTACTTTTTATTTTAAATTCATACGTTACGTTTTTATTTCATTTTAGTTACCTATTATTAAAAAATTAACGTGACACTCACCATAAGGCAATCCACATCATCATTGATTTATATTTTAAAAATACTAAGTTAACATTTTTGTTAGTTTTTTAATGATAGAAGATCAAAGTAAAATTAAAATATAATATCACATATGATGATCAAAACTAAATAAAAGTGATAATTAAGGTGATAAAATTATAGTTTACTCTATATCTTATTTATATACTTTAACCAGGGGACACAGTTTTGGTGTTTCTCTCTCTCATCACTGCTTGTGTTTGGCACGCGTTTCAAGGTGGATTAGAATGTGACGGTCATGGTGACGGCAAACACGCAAATGGTGAATTTTATTTGATCATTTAATTTTGTTTGTTGCTAACCGGCAGTTGTAGTAGTCATGGTTTTTAGAACCGGATCGGTTAGCGAACCGATTATGCTATGGTTTATTGGTTACCGATCGAACCGGTTCGATTGGTCGGAAGAATCGGACGATATAATTATATAAAAAATTAAATAAAATACCAAAAATATTAATAAAATAATTTTTTATATCACAAGTCATATCAAAGCAAGTCATAACATATATAGTTAAAAACCATAAGCCAAGTGAATAAAATGATTCAAATTAACTACAACATAATATTTAAGGTAAAACACTTAATAATAAATATAATTATATAACTATATTAAAAAATAAATTTGAGGTTAAAAAAATCATAACAAAATTATATAACTATAATTATATAACTATTCTTTCACTTCAATCAAGCTAGAATTTTAGGCTTCAATCGAGCTTCTAATTTTTTTTTGAATTCAAGTCTTTTTGAGTTCAAGTTTCAATATTATATTTCGAGTTTGAGTTAAATTTGATAATTTTTAGCTTGTGAGTTTGAGTTGAGTTTAGCTTACTTTTAAAGTTTTCAAGTTCGAGTCGAGCTCAGCAATACTCGAGTTCGACTTGGCTCGTTTAACAAACGACGTTGTTTGGTTTAATTCTTTTTTCAAAAAAACAAAAATCCTGGTTTTTTTCGATTTTTCCCTATTTTTTTTCAATTTTTTCTGGTTTTCAGCCGATCTGGTTCGAACGATTCAACGGTTCTGGTCGGTTCACTAATAACGATTCAACCGATTTAGATTAAATCGGACTAAACAACAATTCCTGGTTAAATCGGCCGATCCGATCTTATTTTCAAAACAGAGGTAGTAATTGACTGACAACTCGCATTCGTGAGGCTGTCTTTTCAGTTTTCATCCAGGAGGGAAAACTGTCACAAAAAGGACACTAGATTTTATTCACTTTAAAAAGAATAATATTAACTGATTGCTTGATAGATTGACATGAAAATTAACTAACAAGATACTTCTAACAGGTCACCAAACTCAACTCTGCTGTGTAATTTGCATTTGAAAAATAAAATTTACTGTGATATAAACATAACTTCACTTCAACTTCTATGAATTATAAATGTCAAGTAGTGAAGTGCACATGGGGCTATGAGGTTCAAGATTTTTCAGTAACTCAGAAATAATATTTAAATGTTGTTGATCCATATCAGAAAACTCCTCAGGGACCCAAATTAGAGTTGAAAGATAATTTAAAAAAAGGGGCAACTCTTGAAAATGATTTCTAGTGGAAAACAGTAATTTGATTACAACATATTATTCAAGAAAACTAAAGATATAATTACTATTTTTAAATGTTTTTAAAATCGGACCGGACCTTAACCGAAAAGATACCGGTTCACTGGTTCAACTGTGGTTCAACCGCTGTTGAATGATTTGTATAAAATAATATTTTTTTTTAAATTTTACATAATATTCAAAGCAATATTAATATATATATATAACATTCTTTTTAAGTTCACAATATTAAAATGTATAAAAATATCACAAGTCATAACATATATAAGTTAAATACCATAATATCAAGTGAAACAAAATGATTCAAATCAACTACAACATAATATTTAAGGTCAATACCTAATGAAATTCACCAACAACTAAATAAAAAAAGTACATAATTGATACAAGTATCAATCATCATAATATTCATTGAAATTGATTCCCTCAAATTCCAAAATATTGAGAAAAACTTTTTCATTAGTTAAACTATCACCGCCATCACTCACTTTGAATTTGAAACTCCACGGCATCAAGATCTTCATCACCTAGCAATATGATAAATAAATATAAAGTTAAATTTAAATTCTCAAACAATACTTAACAATTAAAAGTAAAAGTGTAAAACATATTAAATAATAAATATAATTATATAACTAAAATAAACAAGAAAAGATTAACCTTCATTGTTTTTGAGGCTGAAAAAATCATAACAAACAACGTCGTTTGATTTAATTTTTTTTTAAAATTAGAACCGTGTGATCCGGTTGAACCGCCGGTTCATACCGATTTTGCCGGTTCTTTAGTGGTTCATTGCAAAACTGGTTTTGGAGGTTGACCGAACCGAACAAGCAACTAATTCCCGGTTGAACCGGCTGATCCGATCCGATTTTAATAACATTGCTATTTTCAGAAAGTGGTCCCGTTTCATGAATTTTCATTTTCAAAATTTCACCAACTTTTTCTCAATCCTCACTGGTACATCTTTCCGAAATGAACAACACAAAAGCCGCAATGGAAATTCAACTTTACCATAGTCAAGCTTTGACCATCCAATTTACAATTAATACTACTGATCTTTGCAAAGCATGCAGAAACTAATGCAAACGGCGGCATCCTTGCTGGACGGTGGCCGGTGAACTGCGGTGATATATGTGAGTGCAGGTGAACGGCTGCTATGTGAAGTTTAAGTTCAGGATTTTATTAAGCTTAAGCTTAAACAAATGGATCTAATTCAGTATTGGTTCAATACAAATAACCCAAATATAACAAACTAATATGGCCCAAACAATCTCAAAACTAATTCAATCCAACAACTCGATGATTACCATTCCCTAACATTCATCTTGTTTTTTTTTCTTTTCGTTGTGTATTTTCAGCTTTTGAAAGCTGATAATAAATTGATCAATGTGTTTGCATCTTCCTTTTTTTGTCATCTGATAAGCTAATGATTATCATGTACATCTATTGTTTGAAAGTGCACTGAAATCTTTCTTCTACTTTTTCCTTGATCAGTATCGTTACATTTGTACCTTTCCCTGAACATCTGATCAAATAATTATACATCTTCTGTTTGATAGTGTAGACACTCATTTTCGTATCGATTTCTGTTTATATATTATATTATATTATATATTATATAGTATTAATTATTATGTTATATTTTATAGTATATAATATAATTATAGTATATTATATAGTATATTATTATATATATGATAGTATTATATTATATATTATATATTATATTATATTATATCATATATTAGTTTATATTTATTATTTTTATTAATATGTTTTTAGTGTGGACCAAAAATCCGATCCAACGAGGAAGTCCAAAGGTAAGATCTACGTTTGGGAAGTCCAACAAGCAGGCTCACCTGACCCAGTGAGCAAGTGCCAGGCCCGTCCATCTGCCTGACCCATTAGATGGCCCAAGTCAGTTAGGGTTAGCGTCGCACGATTGAGAGCCCTCGGATAAGGGCATGGATGGACGAACCGATCAAAACACTCTTAGGGTTTACAAATCCTAAGTATTATAGTACGAGTTCCGCAAAAAATAACAACCGTTGGATCTGGCCTTTTGCTCCAACGGCAAAAAATGCATCAGATCACCGTTCAACAACATGTGGATGCCACGCGCCAGCTAGATTACCAACCATCCAAGATTTCCGGAGCAAAACAGAAGCAAAAAGGAAAATATTTCCCTGATTTTTCTGGTCAACTTAACGACTAGGTACGAACGTGCAAAATCCCAAACAAATCGGGATTGCACCATCCCGCTATAACTGGAAACAACCACCATTAGGTGTTATATAAACCCCGAAAGCCATCGAAGTAAGGGACCAAGAGAAACCGAACAAAAGACATCGCATAGCAAAAGAAAAATTGAACAAAAAAACAACCAAATATCAAGCAACCAAGCAAGAACAAAAAAAACTATGTGAACATCATCAAAAAATCATAGAAAAATCAAGACTTTGTTTCATCGAAAGGCGCCGAGAACTTGGAGAAGCCTCATTAAAAAAGAAAGGTCTCTGGAAAACGAAGGGACACCGATCTCAAGGTAAAAATGTGAACCTTAAAACGTAGATCTATGCCGATTGGGGGAATTTTAGAGCGATCGGGGCTTGGTTTCAACTTTAGGGTGTTGAGAGGGAGCTTTTGGTCTAGTTTAGGTTTTTCGGCCACCGCCTCCGGTGGCCGGAATAGTAATCCGGGTGAAGGCGGCTT